AGACTCCCGTGGGATTACCAAATACCTTATACATTGCCATGTGTCCCACACTACACTGCTTCTTGCTTAGCAAACAGTAGCATTCAATTCTGTGTTAAAAGGTCTATTTAGGAGTGAAGGTAGGGAGGGGCTGTCATTTCAACGAAGGCTTTTCCAGAACTGGAAAGGATCTTTAGAAACCCAGAACTCTTTCTGGTTAGTGACTCCAAAGTGTGGTCCTGAAGTGTTCCTGGTGCTTCTGAAACTGGAGGTGATGGAGCCTCATTTGTACTTCAATCAGCTTCGTACATGGTGGACTTTTACATAAGATTTTGTTTGAATAAGTTTTCTGCTATTCAAACAATGCAAAGCATGGGAGGAGTCTAACCTTTTCACTTTCTATGTTTCCTTCTGTGAAAGGAAATGGTCTTAGAGAAGTGAAGTAACTTAGACTGCTCTTGCCCTGCTCCTGCCCTAACAAAGGCTGTGGCAAGTCAGGAAAACTGGGAGGTCAATTTCTGTATCCAAGGATCCTGCACCTCATCCCCGAGCTGTGACAGGCTTTTCCTCTTTATCTGGGAGTCCCATCATGACTCTCTCAAGCTCTGGTTGTGTGACAAGGAGGGTGGAATCTGAGATGAACAACAGCCCCCAAGGAGGAAACTGGGGTGAAGAGGGCGGCGAAACCATTCGCTAGACAAGATCTTCAACTGCGGGGACAGGCAGCAATTGAGAACAGCTTTGAAGGTGCAGATTGAAGGAGGTTGGGGAGTGCTGAGGACCAACTGGAGTAAGGGTGGGATAGCAAGTAGCCAAAGTTCCTTTTCCGTCTGGGTTGCTCTGTGGGCCGGGTCTCCGCGCCCTCCCTCACTTGGATGGGTTCAACTCCGGGATCCCTAGCTGTGCCTTTGTGTGTGTGTGTGTGTTGGTGGGAGTGTAGACATGCGGGGGAGGGAATTGTCATTTCGGAGCAGTCTGCCTTTCTCTGTCGATTAGTTCGCGAGTCGATGAAGACACGACTCTCCTATGGTTCGTTATGACTCCCATTTCACAGGTGGGAAACTTTAGCACGCAGGGGAATCAGCCTAGAGTCCGGGGAGCTGTTCACCCACTCCGGGGTCGCAGGGCAGCACGTGTTTAGGAGGCGGGGGCTTCAGCGCACGGAACAAGAATCCCAGGCGCGGCAGCCACGGGATACCGGGGTCCGGAGCAAAGTGGTCCAGGGCCCAACCCCGTCACTTCTACAAGCGCGCCCAGCTTGGTGCTCCAGTCCCGTGGTTTTGCGTCCTCCCGGAGGGCGCGGGCTGGGGGCGGGGCCTCCTTGTTGTTGTTTTCATGGGGCCCCGCCCCTGAGGGGGGCGCGGACCATGCGGCCGGAGGGCCCGCCTCCCCTCCCCCTCCCCGCCCAG